GCCTCGCGGGAACGCTTGCTCCGAATCCAGAGGCTCTTCCCGCCTCCTTCGAGCCAAGGAGGTGGAAACCGCTAGCCGTGCTTCCTTCTGCACGCAGAGCAAGTTTCCGTGCGCGAGGTTCTGCTTGTTCTGGCAAAGATTCAAAAAGCTCCTTCGCCCTTGCGTTTACACGCCTTGGTTCTGGCTCAGCTTGATAAGTAACGTCCCCTGGTAGCGGACCTTCTCCGCTGTACGAGACGTTGTTTGTTGGAATTCAGTATTTTAAGCGTGCAGGTCTGCTCATCTCTTTGCCGTTGCGGCGGGGTGCTGCTGGGCGAGGAGCGATGAGCAGAATTCCATCCGCACGCTCCGGGAACTCGGGAATTGCAAATCGCAGGCTGTTCAGGTAGAAAACAGGGTAATGTTTGGAGGAAGAGCACGAGTCAAGCCTCTAAGCTCTGCGTGTGTGTTTGGGTTTCGTGACAATCGAAACGGAAGAGATCGATTTCTGCCTTAGGGCAGAAGCAAAGGAGGTCAGCTGCGTGCTAACCTCTCTTGAAAAATGTAAAATCCAGAAATGCACGTACGTGCGGGACGAGGGGAGGTGAACAACTGCGTTGCCGTTCTGTGAGGCATCTAGCTGGCGAGAAAAGGGCTGTCGGGATGGTTGTGTGCATGGAAAGGAAGGGCCCGAGCAGCAGAAACAATAGGCACGTTTTTTTCCAAAGACATTCGTGAATGTTGCTCTCGGATGTTTTCCTTTTTTTTGAGTGGTTCTGGCTCCGAGCGCGCCTTGCGATACAGAGCCGATCGTGCCTGATCCTTAATGCAGCGGTGAATCCTAAAGTCACCCCGTGACTCTCTGCGTATCAGTTCATGGTCCTGTGCCAGCCGACCTTTCCGGGAGGGCGCTTGTCCCTCGCGAGCCAGCACGCAGAACCGTGCCTCTCCCGGCCCTGCGTCTTGGTTTCGTGGTCTGTAAATGGAAATAACTCCGAGCTGGCTTGCGGTGTGAGCAGCTGTCGGGCTCCTATGGCTGACCCTTGCGTAACGTTTGGAGTTCCCTTTACCTGCTTTTGTAGATCTGTGTCTGAATTGCCCCAAACCCGCAATGTGGGTCTTGATTCAGGATTTTCACGTGCAGCGTCGCTCTCTTTCTCAGACCTCACGCCGCTTTTCTTGTTGTTGCGCAGTGGTTCGAGCCTTCCCAGTTTGGGACTTGGTGGGCAATCCTGTCTACAAGCATGAACTTGGCTGGAGGCTTAGGCCCCATCGTCGCTGCCCTCATGTCTCTGAACTACGACTGGCGCATGACTTTGTCCTTCTCTGGCTTCCTCTGTGTGGTCGTCTCTTTTGTTTGCCTCGTCCTGATTAAAAACGAGCCGTCGGATGTCGGGCTACCCAACATTGAACAAGGAGCCAAGAAAGGGAAGAAAGGTGAGCGTGAGACTTTATCGTAAGCAGGCAGCTGCAGTGTCCTGGTGCGAACGTGTCGCTCTCGGCATACCGAGACCTCCCTCCTTCCCGCTTCCCAAAATTGCTGCTCGGCGGGGTACGTCTAAGCGGTTTGTTTCAGCAGCTTTGTTCTGGTAACTGTTGAGCTGCTGCATTGAAGTTATAAATCGTACAAACGGAGCCCCGGTGTAGTCTTGTGGGAAGGGGCCAGTGTACAGGCTTCTGAGACTGCCGCAGGAAAGCGCGGCAGAGCGGAGGAAGAGCCCGACCGCCTGTTAGTTCTGTTCCTGCCAGCGATCGTGCGTGCATCGCCGAGATGCTCGTGGCTGGCTGTTTCATCTCCCCGTCTGCGTGATGTCTTCCTACTAACAGTGTCCTCGTTTTCTTGGGGCTTTATTTGCTTAGACTGTGAGCAGAGTCTCCTGGGGGGGGGGGTACAAGGGAGAGAGAGAAAAAAACATGCAACAGCAGGGAATGCTTCCTTAAGCCTGACCTTCCTCTCCTCCACGTTACCAGAGGACAGGCAGCTCTCCCCTCACCCCGCCGTGGGTTCTCTTGACCCCTGGCTTGCGGTGGACTCTGCTCAGTGTTTTCTGTCCTAACCTAGGACATCTGGTTAGTCAATGTTTGTTCAGACCACTCAGTGTGGTGCTCCTCTGAAAGCAGAACAGGTAGAGGGGAATTGCAACAGAGGTTTGCTGTAGGATTTTAAAGGCCAGTGGAAACTCAGCCTACCTTCCGCACCGTCCTGCGATGCCTGTGCCGCTAGACTTGACCTCTTTGTGCACAAAACCAATATTGCTTCTGTAGGGTAGGTTTGTAGGCGTTCTTGGACGACAGACGCAAAAATAAAGGTAGCACCTGAAAGTCAGCATCTTCGTTTGGGTCTGTGGAGCGGCTTTCCCAGAGCAGAGCTTAAAAGCGTTAGCGCAAAATCTGGAGAAGCAGAAACAACCTTTGTGAAGGGTTTATTGGCAACCGCGGTACAGGGAATCACTTGGAGTAGCATTTTCATTATTCTTTTGAAGTCTAATGAATGTGGAATGAATTGACAGAAAAGATTCTGAAATCACAGCAAGCCCAGAGCAAAGGGGAGGTAAAGCCATTCGCTGCCAGTAGCTATGAGTATCTCCCTCTGTAAGGACGTTCTTACGCGTGAATCCCGCTTGCCGATCTGTCCGCGATCTGTAGTGGTTCGGTAGCCGTGCTCAAGCGGCAGTAACATTCCTCCTGATCTTCCTTGCAGGTTCCTCCAACGACAACAGCACTCTGACAGAGCTGCTGCTCTCGCCGTACCTCTGGGTGCTCTCAACAGGCTACCTGGTCGTTTTTGGAGTGAAAACGTGCTGCACCGACTGGGGACAGCTCTTCCTGATCCAGGAGAGGGGACAATCCATGCTCGTGGGTAAGACGTCACGAAGGCAAGGGGTTTGGGGGGTGCAGCGCAGAGCTCAACTGGGTACAGCAAAAGGACGCGGGCGCCTCCGTCTGAGGGCCTCATTTGCTTACCTCCTACCTGTCCATTTAGACGCACGTAGTTACCAAAATAACTTGCTGAGGGAGGTAAGTTACTGCGTGCGCCGAGGGCCCCGGTGCTGTCTGGGGGACGAGCTGGAGGGGTCCTGTCCAGCAGAGCTGCTCCGAGCTGACAGCGGTTGAGCTTGGTCTAAAGCACGTAGCGGCTGTGCTCTTTGGTGACCGAACCTGACGGCCTGTTCTTTGCTTCGCCTACGTTCTAGGTAGTTCCTACATGAGTGCCTTGGAGATTGGGGGTCTGGTGGGAAGCATTGCTGCTGGATACCTTTCTGACAGAGCGGTAGCACGAGTGAGTAATCTGGACTCTTGGATACGCTGGGCAGTTGACGCAGCATCCGTTCGAGCTGCTTCAGAATTTTTGCAGTTTGTTTTGGCTTCCTTTGCGAGTGCTTGAGGATGACTTACCTCCCCCCGCCCCTTCTCTAATACCCGCACCGGTAGCGGAGCAGACTGCTCCCCTTGTTTATGTTGCTCTGGAGATTCAGGATTTCTGTCTTCCCAAGCTCTTCTTTTGGATGCAGTTCCCTGTCTAAAGTACCCTGCTTTGGAAAGGGACTTTTGAAAAAATCAGACTGTTCTCAATTAACCCACGCCCCTTCTCTAATACCCGCACCGGTAGCGGAGCAGACTGCTCCCCTTGTTTATGTTGCTCTGGAGATTCAGGATTTCTGTCTTCCCAAGCTCTTCTTTTGGATGCAGTTCCCTGTCTAAAGTACCCTGCTTTGAAATGGGACTTTTGAAAAAAATCAGACTGTTCTCGATTAACCCATTTCTTTCCCTTCATGCAGAGGTATGTTCCGGGTAGAAATAGAGCACGGTTGATAAGGGAAATACCATTCATCACCAAGAGCTTCTCGTTTAGCGCGGTTTGACCGCAGACAGTCCTTAAACCCAACCGAGAAGTCTTGCCAAAAGGCGTGCTTTTGGTGCGCCGTCCGTGTTTCTGACTGGGCCGCGTGGACGGCATTAGTTACCACGAGTATAAAGCGGAAGGAATCCTTCCAGTTTCTGACCCTGGGGTTTCCCTTCCTGCATTACAGGTGGGTCTGTCAAGCTACGGGAACCCTCGGCACACGCTGCTGCTTTCCATGATGGCTGGGATGTGCGTGTCCATGTTTCTCTTCCGCGTCACGGTCACGGGCGATTCTCCCAAGGTAATCCATGCGCGAGCAGCTGGCCGTGGGTTGTAGGGAGAGCCCTTTAAGGGTGAGGAGTTTGATGATGGGGAGCGCGACTGTTTTCTTCACCCTTCCCAAGAACTGTTAAGTTTGCATTTTCTTTCTTTGCGCTACAGAAAAGCAGGCTCACGTAGTGTGGGTTGGACTGCTGCTGCTGCCTAAGTCGGCTTGGGGAGCCCACATTACCGGCTGTAGCGTAGGCACGGCTTGCGTCTGCCCTCGTGATTGCTAAATGAATGAAACCTCTTTTCTCCTTTCCTTTTTTTTTTTTTTTCTCTTCTTCTTCAGGAAAATCACCTCTGGACTGTAGCCTTGCAACCTCTAGCTGATCTTACAGGCCTAAAAGAACGTGAGGTTTCTGCCTTGAGTTTTTTTCCTTCCTCTGCCTGTTTCTGCTTTCGTTCATCTGCCTTTTTCCTATCCTGGGAGGTTGGTTAGCACACCAGAACTTAGAACCAGGGCATTGAGAAGAGATTACTGTAAGTTTTGTAAAAGAAATTTTTTCTTATAATCATTTGGTCACACTAGCTGACTTTTTTAAAAGTCTGAATATAACATTTTTAAGTTGTTATATAGGTTCTGAGGACGCTTGTTCATCAGGTAAAATGTAAGCAGTTAAGGAGTCTTGTGAGTGAGTTCAGGAGGAACGATTCTGTTCCTGCAGATGCCTTACTGCTTAACTTGGGCAAGTGTTTTCCTAACTCTTTGTTTCTGTTTCCCACCTGGAAAATACGATGGCGCTTACTTCCCTCTGGGCATCTTAAAATGGTGTTCAAAAAGCATGCCATGTAATCTCGAGGCGGTCAAGTTACTTATCCTTTGTTGTCCTTTCACAAGCGACTGATAAATTCCGAGCCAGGTAGTTTTCTTAGCGCGTAACTAACGCTGAAGTTCAGACTGTGTTGGGGGTTCTTTGGTTTCGTTTCTGTGTTTGTTCAGTAACATCGCAGTTATCAGATAGTGGCTACTCGCAAAGAAAGATGCTCTGATCGGTCGCTCGCATCTCAGATGAGAAAAGCTTTTTAGTTGGTGTCTCCAGGATCATTCTTAGAAGCGACTCGATTCACAGCTCTCTCCTGCAATTTCACGGGCTCATTGCCCGGCTCTCCTTGAGGTTTTGGTTTTTTCTTGCAAAACAGCGCCTATCGTGTGTGTATGCAGTGCAGAGGGCAGGACTGTAGGCGAGAGGAGAGCTCGTGCTGGCTGACGAGACGGTGCGGTGGGGGTGCAGCTGGGCTGTGTGTACGTGGGGTCTGTTCCCGGCTTGAGCTCTTCCGTCTGCCGGCCAGGGAGCTGGTGGCAGGCCCAAAATGTCAAAACCCCCTCGTACTGTGCACAGGATCTGAGATTTGTCAGCAGCTGCTGATTGATGGCGGTAAGATGCACAGATCCTGTTTCTGATCTTAACTTGTTTTGACAGCTGTGGATCCTGACTCTGGGAGCTGTGTTTGGGTTCTGCTCCTACGGGCCGATTGCCCTGTTCGGGGTTATAGCCAACGAAAGCGCGCCCGCCAACCTGTGCGGCACCTCCCACGCCATAGTGGCACTCATGGCCAACGGTGAGTAATGCCCGTTTTCCCCAAAAAACAAACAAAACCCCTGCCTGTTCTCGATGAAGTCTGGTCTAGCCCCTGGCTGCCAAGTTACTGATCACGGGAGGTTGCCTAAGAAGCAGAGATAGTAGAGCTGGAAGCCTCGAGGATGCTTCCTGCTGTACCTGAACAGTTAGGCGGGGTTTTTTTTGGCCTTATGTTTTACGTTCAAACCAGGCCTGAGGACTTTTTATATGTGCAAAAATGCGTGTTGGCAGATAAAACTGAGACGCTCGAGCGTTGCTAGTTTTTCTCTTTGTTTTTCCTTACAGTTGGGGGTTTTCTGGCTGGACTACCCTTCAGTACCGTTGCCAAACACTACAGCTGGGCCACAGCGTTCTGGGTAGCTGAAATCACCTGTACCGGCAGCACGGTGGCTTTCTTCTTACTGCGCAACATCCGCACCAAGATGGGCCGGGTTCCCAAGAAGGCTGACTGAGGATAAGCTGCTTGGTGAAAAGGATGCTCGTTTCTTGTTTAACTGGCCAAGGAGTGAGTTTACCTATTGCTGCAATCTTGGTAAAAATGTCTCGATTTCTCGTCCACTGTCACGTGCCTGAGGGCACGAGGTTCTCACTACTGATCACTTTTTTTTTTTTTTCCCCCTCGAGATGTGATAATTCAGCTAGTTTACATTTGCAATAATTTTACTGTACCTCCTTCTCGTAGCACTGTTGGCGAAGCAAGCGGGCTTCGCAGCCCCAGCTTCGCCACTAGAAGTACTCTAAAACGACTGGCTTCAGGTGCTGTCACATTTAGTTTTGTCCTTAGCGTTCATCTCAGCCATTAGCTGTTAATTCAGCCTCGTTCAGGGGTGCCGAAGCGAGCCTTCGCTCGTCCCGTGCAGCTGCCTGGGTTTGCTTAGGCGAGAGCAGCGTGGCTTTAGTTTTGCCCTGGATTAGCCGTTGGGAGCGAGGGCAAGGTTTCGCTCTGGACAAGCGGAACGCCAATGCCGTGCTGTGGCAGGGCTCCCCACAGCACTTAGAAATAGGCACGTTTCCAAGAAATTCTTGGCACTTCAGGGGAGAGCGTTTAGAGAAGCTCCTTCTGTTGAACTGATCCTGCCCGGTGCGATTTCTGTGTACGTCGTTAATGATTTGCAAGGGAGGCGGCGGCTGCTGCCAAGTCAGCTCGTAGGGAGCGCTCTGCAAATCAGCCAGAACGGACCCGGCGGCAGGTATTGCGACAGCAGCTACTGCCGGCCCGCAACACCTGCAGCTGGGTTTCATGAAAACCCGTATTTCTAGCATTGCCTTGTATTTTTTTCAGTACGAGGTGTGTAGTCTAGGATGTTTTTGGTCAAGAGGTGCAACTCTCATGGCTGCAGAGCCAGCGGCCTCGAGCAGTTAGGCCCCAGCACTCTTTGCAATAAGTAGACTCAGGTTTTTACCCAGGCTTTTGTTGAATACTCGTCATTTTTCCCCGAAAGGATTTACTGCTTTAGGGTCCTGGAAGAGGCAAGTTTCAACTCGTGAAGAACCTGCGTGCAGGTACTTTGCTGAACAGCTCGGTTGCAAGAGTAGGTAGCCAGCCTTAATTAAAACAATGGAAGTGAATTACATTTTGTACTTAATTATATGATCTTCTACTATCTGTGAAATAAAAATGGAGCAGTGTCGCTAAGGCTCTGGCTGTCTTACGGAGAACGGTGCAAGCAGAACCCCCCCCCAAACCCGCTTATCCTCCTGAGGGGCTACGGGCAGAAGTTTACCCCGCCAACAGAAAACAAACAGCCATCCGTTCCTTTAAAGAACATTTGTTACTTCTACACAGAAACTCTGCAAAACCATAAGTTAGAGCTATACAGGGAAAAAAATACATATGTACAATTATGAAACGAAAGATAACAATTGACTGCGGTAAGGCCACGGACCCGCGCCTTATCTTTCTTCAGAAAAGGCAGTGGAGCCGCAACAGCAGGGTAGTAAGCCTCTGTAGCCCAATGTAAACAGTAGTAACGAGTCCGTTTAAGGTAAATTTCACAACAAAGGGGATGAAACGGTATCTTGAGAGATAATGAAGCGCGTTTGGGGATACGCAGTCTCTGCTGTGGAGGAGAGAGGTCAGCTGGGGAAGAGAGAGGCCCTGCTCTTCAGAGGAAGGAGTCTGTGCAACAGGCGAGGCTTTCTCTATGATCCGGGTCCGAAGGGTCCAGCTTTCTCTGCCACCTCCAGAGCGAGTTTCAAGTTCTGATCAAACAACTCGCATCTGAAACAGAAAAGCAGGAGGGGGTGATTTTACCCAGGGAACAGGCTTGTGAAGACAGGATCTCCACGTCCCTTTGGCTCTGCATCCTTCGGGGAGAGATTCCGTAAGTCACAAGACAGCAACCTGACTGGCATTAAACTTCGGTTTGGCCACTAAGGACGAGCAAAGCTTCTTGCCTTACGCTGGGACAGCAGCGATCGTACCAAGGGAGAGCAGCACCTCCCGCTTCCCCAGCGCAGGGCAGCGCTGGATAAAGCACAGGTTGGTCAGTGTCCATCCCTGCAGCAGCGGATTGCGTCTTCCCCCTTCCCCCGACCTCTGGGTCTGCTTTGCTGTTCAACGTGGGGGCTGTCAGCGTTTGTTACTGCACAGGCAGAAAGTGATGAGGGGCTGCAGCTGCGTTATTGAAAGGGGGCTGCTTCCTTACCTGATTGGCATTTCCAGGGAGTAGAAGGGGTTCTTCAGAGCAAAGTCAGAGTAAATCTCATAGAT